GCTAAGAGACGCTAATTGTATCCGAACGTCTGCGGTCCCTCCGGTGAGTACCGATCGCACAAGGATAGAAATTATTTTCATTTATTAATTTTTAATAAACGAAAATTTCTCCACCCAGATGAGATCCGAACTCACGACCTTTAGGTTTAAAGGTAGGCGCTCTTACCACTGAGCCACAGAGGGGATCATGATTTTTTAACACATCATAGAAACGAGGAATCATAACAAATCTCATATATTGTCATATGATAAATCATGTAGTGTTAAAGTCGACTTTAGCATTAAAAGGTGATTCTTCATTACCTGCATGTGTACAAGAATTTTCTACTCCATTTCAATGTTTTAAATATTTTTTTAACGACAATCTATTGCAAGAGATTACCAACCAATCTAATTTATACAGCGTTCAAAATAATCCTGCTAAGGCAGACAACATTGTTACAAATGACTCAGTAAATTTATTGGAATGCTGCTCTATATGTCAGTCATCCATTTGCCTAATGCAAGTGGCTACTGGTCTAAAAATATTGGAGTATCCCAAAAAAAAAAGAAACGATGAACCAATATGCTTTTGATCTTGTTAGAAAAGTAATTCATTTTACAGATAATTCAAAAATGAAACCTAAGGATGATCCACAATCAGATCGTCTTTGTAAATTGAGAAATGTTGTAAAAAATTTAAATTCAAAAGTATACGTCATGAACAGTATTTATGTGTAGATGAACAACTATGCGCAACTAAGACCAGGCGTTATCTAAAACAATATTTTGCCTACTACATAAATTGGGATTTAAACTGTTTCTGCTAAGTATCGTAAGTGGCTTTTCTTATCAGATTGAAATTTACACTGGCCAAGAAGCCAGGGCTCGTCTAAATACATAACCAAATATGGGAACTAATGCTAATGTGGTGGTTAGATTATGTCGAAATATTCCTAATAATAAATTCTTCAGGGTTAACTTCGACAACTACTATTCATGAGTTCCCTTGGTAGTATATTTAGCTAACCAAGGCATTTATTCACTGGGCACTATTAGAAGGAATAAGATTCCAAATTGCCTTCAGATAATGAGATAAAGAAACAATAAAGAGGCACATCCTACGAGTACGTATCGAATGCAGAAGGTGTTGATATATCTACCGTTATTTGGAAAAATAACAAAGCTGTTAAACTTATATCTAATTTTGCTGAACAGTTGCCTATGCAAGAACTAAATATGTTGCAGATACAAAATTAAATTCCGTACAAAAAAGTGGTGTAAGTTACTTTTACAGTAAAAGAAACCTTTTTAACCGAAACGGCTGACAGTTTCAATAATTTCGTCAATACAACATAAATTTTTATCACAAAACGAAAAAACCTCGTCAGCATTGCTTTCATACAACTAAAGAATGCAATTAAATATACAAAACATGTTTTTTATTGCTGTAGTTATCTAATTATGTTTGTTGTATCGGTTTCAATTACTCACTTATCGATATCAATTACTCACTTACCGGTATCAATTACTCACGTATCGGTATCAATTACTCACTGTTGATGAAGCTTTCTATTTGTGGTTCACACAACAAAGAACCACAGGAGTAGCATTATCTGGACCAATAATTCAAGAAAAGGCAAAAATGTAAATGAAGGTAAAGGTTTTAAAGCAAATTCAGGTTGGCTAGACAAATTGAAAAATAGGTATGCTATTCGTCAAGTTAATTTATGTGGAGAAGCTAAGCTATATGCTGACCACGATGCTGTGAATATTTATAAAACTGAAATGGATGAGTTATTGACAAATTACACTAAAGATCAAATTTACAACGCAGATGAGACTGGATTAAATTTTAAAATGCTGCCAAAAAAATCATCATCATTGGCTCTACAACCCTGGGTGGGTCTTGGCCTGTTAAAGAATTAGTCTCCATTCCCCCCTATCTTTCGCCCTGACCCCTAGATTCCTTAAATCATTTTCGACTTGAGTTTTGAATCTAGGCCCAAAAATCACTTACATCAAAACATGAACACAGTGCACCGGGTCTAAAAATGAATAAACAACGAATAACAGTTCTGTTTTGTAGCAATGCAGCAGGAACTCACCGATTACAGCCATGTGTGCCAAAATGGTGACATAATTGTTAGATTTTGCCACCGAATGTAACAAGCTAATTCAGTCGTTAGACCAGAGAATAGAGACATTATAGAGGAGGATTCTTAAGACATCTGTTATTATAGGAGACGAATGAATCCAAAAGCGTTTCTGAAATTCTTAAATCTTTAACGACGAAACATATTGTTTATTGGTGTGCCGAGTCGTAGGCCAAGATCAAATCTACAACATTGGAAAAATGCTGGAACAAACTTTTTGATGGGATTTTGATTGACGATCCTGAAGCAGAATATGTGGAAAAAAATACTGAAGAAATTGAACCTTTGAAAGAAATTTGCCAGGGTGTGACAAAATTAACCAAGAAGAGATACGTGAGTGGTTAGCAGCCGATGACTCACAAAGTGAATTCATCGAAGAAGATATTTCTTAATTTTTGTTGTCATGGCATACCGTTTTGTCCCTTTCAGATTGCTTTACGTTTCGTCGAACAATCTAATGGGACAAAACCGCATGACATTCTGCAAATGAAACGATGATGGAGAGATCTAGCTGCAAAACATAGTATTCAAAGGAAAACACAAACGAAAATAGACAATTTCTTAAAAAAACAAGAACATGTTAATTTTCCTTATTTATTACTTTATCCTGTATTTTATTTACATATTAGAAAAAATTACAAAATCACCTCATAGTATTTTTAATACCAACTTTGACCAAGAGTACTATGTATTGATACAAGAACAATGTTATTTTTAACCGAAATTCTTGTTATCCGAAACGGCCTCCCCCCAATTATTTCGGTTAACAGAGGTTTTACTGTACTTACCAATTTTTTTCCACCTTGTAGATCTCACTTGTAAATAGTTGGATTCTTTATAAAAGAGTATGTAAGGAAAATGGAAACAAGTCTATGACGCTGGTAAATTTTAGAATTGAGGTAGCTGATTGCCTGTGTAGAGCAGGTATGCAAAATTGATCAAGCACGTAAGGAAGACCATCTACAAGTTCTATTGAACAGAATATACAATTGAAGAAAAAGAAAGAGCGGACAAATTACATTTCACCGAAACATTATAATTAGATATTCGAACAGATGCTGTATGACATTAACCAATCTACAGTAGCGATCGAATTGTAAAAAATTAACCTTCATTAAATGTGGTTTGCACTTATGTGTTAATAATAATGTTTATTTATCAATAAAAATATATTATAAAGGTACTTGTATTTTATTTCCTATATAATTTTGCCCAAATGCACTTTGTATCAAATTTGATACATTACCAAAAATGTCCTGAAATTAAAAAAAAATATATAAGATATATTTTTTAATTATTTTTTTCGGGCATAAGTTGGCCCAAAGATATTTCAAGAAATACCAATTGAACAGGCAGGATTCAGGCCACAAAGAGCACATGAAAGAGCATCACCGACTAAGTGCTTATTATAGGTACTTACATAAAGGCAGGTTTCCTCTGTGGCATTCATTTACTTATCAGCTGCATATGACACAGTCTGATAAGATGGTCCAATCTGATTTTCAAAGTAATCCCCTGCAAAGCAATGGATCCTCTCCTAAATAACATGCTGGATAACAGAATTTTTTCAGAACATATAGGGGGACTACCAAAAGGGCATTACATCATGTCTCCGTTGTTATTGGTCCGAATGAAGCGTATGATGTGTTAACTGAAAGGGGCGTGGATAACGATTATATTAAGATATAAAAATCAAACAAGGGGATTACATAACATCTTTTTTATTTATGAACGTATATTGACACACGAGATATCACATGACAGCATGGATAATAATAGACACACTACAAGGTAAATGTGCTTTATTGACCTGAAGTGGGCCTCTGACTGAGTACCAAATAATCAACTAGCCAAATTGTAAAATATGAACTATGACAGTCTGTAATGCAGATTCCTTTGAAGTATTAATACTCTCATACAGTGACTGTGTTACTCTTTACAATATCACCAAACTGTTTGCTCCTCGAATATTTAGCAAGCAAAAACGTAAGTCCCTGAGATCTATCCTAGCATATCTTCGCATATAAATTTGGTACTGTCAGAAAATAAGAAAGCAATGGTCATTTAATTAACTCTAAATATCAAACCTTAATTTCTTAATATTCCTCCTTCAAACACTTATTCACTAATGAATTTAAGACAGACCATTGTGTCACATGTGCCTTTGTAACAAAGGATGGATTAAAAAATATATATAAACTAGCAGAGACTAATACTATCTAATGCTTTACAGTATATGAAGCCATATGCCACATTGGAAAAGGTCCTGAAATTAACTTCTTAATCATTAGACTTATTAAATTCCCTAGAGATCATCTCTAAAACCTATTCTTCCCATCCTGTGACCAAGCTTATTAGACAAGAATGATACAATATCGCAGAAACATTACTTTCTTGTGGGTGTCACCTAATATGGGAATCACAGGAAACAATGTGGCAGAAAAATATGTATGAGAAGCCTTGGAGGATGCAACTAGTGAGATATATCTAGTAACTTCAACAACAGATCTCAAATCATGTTTTCAGGACAAAATAGTTGACATATGGAATAGCAGATGGCACAAAAAACAGGCAAAATTGAGAAAAAAAAAAACATTTCAATCATGGTCTGATATTTCCACCAATCATTTTATATATTGTACAATTCGCTAATTCTGCATACTTTTATAATTTTGACAGTGGATTTGTCCCATTTGTAATCAATAAATAAATTATTGCTGAATGCGCTGTGGAAATATGATGGTAGTGACTTGCTGGACTTTGCCTGCATGGCACCAGGGTTAATTAAATACCTAAATGATTAAATTATAATATATTTTCCATTAAATAGCCATATAACCTAAATAAATATTCAAAGTTACTTTTGTAAGAAAACTTTTATTAAATGAACACAAAATACATTTTTTTCTTAAAATGTATGATGAACTCTAATTACTAAAATACAGAGAAAAGAACTAAGTAAATTAAATTTGAATTACAAGGCACAACGGAAATTCTTTAGTTACACAAAAAAATTACTAAACTGCTTATTTAAGCAGTAGTCAAACATTGAAAATTTGGAATTCTTCTGCATGGCCTTGCACATGGGGGGAACACGTGCCCAATAATATTAAAACACATCATTGACACATTTCAAGTCTTAACATTACTATTATATATGTGTATTTAATAAGATTAAGCAGGCTGAGAATGTGCCCCCTTCTTTCCAATAAGTGATTTGTGGATGTGAGGAATGACTCCACCACCAGCAATGGTAGCTTTAATCAAGCTATCCAATTCTTCATCTCCTCTGATTGCCAACTGTAAGTGACGGGGAGTTATTCTTTTCACTTTCAAATCCTTACTGGCATTTCCTGCTAACTCAAGAACCTGAAAACAGATAATTTAGGGTAAAAACACATCATAGCTTATGTAATAGGAAGATGGATTATCAACATTATAAAAGATAATCAATTAGTGTCTAGACTTCCACACAGAAGGCCAGGGATGGAGCTCCAGTGGCAGTGAGAACATCTAGATATGTTTAAAGGTCTCAGGTCGATTCAGCCTAAATAAAATGTGTACCTGATGTAAAACCAGGGGTAATAATAGTCAACTGAAGCATAGCACTGACCCTTTTTCCTTCCTTGTATACTGTATGCCCAAGAGATAATAAACTACCATGCTATGATCCCAAAGCCACACTAGCAGTATAAAGGGAGACTACTGTTTATAAAAGCTAATAATCTACAAACTAAGCAATCAAGATAAAAACAAAATATTTCTCATAACGAGATAATCAGCAGTGCTATCGAAGAGTGAAAAATCATTGTATGACATATCAATAGAAAGATCTTTAAAAAGGATAATATCAACCAGCAAAGCCCATTTTTAAACACAGCTACTATGGTTATTAAAAAGTTTATAGGTCTCATAAACAGAAAATTTTATAATTAAATAAATAGAGAAAAAACTATTCAAATATAGTAAACTTGAGTGATGGAAATTGTTAAACATACTATTTTGTCTATTCAATGGCACCCAAAACAACTAATTAAATGCCCAACATATTACTTGAAACTGTGTTATCTGTGTAAAGTTACAATTATTTTTTAAATGCTAATAATTACTATTACTTATCAGTTAAGTAGATGTAGGCCACCAACTAACAAAATACATATTTTGTTAGTTGTAAAACACCTTTCAAAATTAACTATGCCATACATATTCTCACAAAAAATGTAACAAGTAGTACAATAATTCTAAAATGGATGTGCTTTATAATAATAGTGTCTAATATAAATTACAAATGAAACAACTGCAAATGTGAAATAATGTAATTCTTACTTCAGCTGTAAGGTATTCTAAAATAGCTGCAGAGTAGACAGCAGCTGTAGCTCCAACACGTCCATGACTTGTAGTCCTATTTTTTAGATGTCTGTGAATTCTTCCTACAGGGAACTAGAAGAAATAATAACTTATTGGAGTTATAAAAGTTTAAATCTGATATATTTCTATTATTATTTGTTTAAACTAGCCAAATTCAAAGCAAGTATTAAAACTTCTACTATTGCAAAAAGAGAAAACCAATATTAATTTAGAAAGGTATATGCTGCATATCATACTGCATTTGACTAGACACCACATAAGTTTAAACATATGGTTCGACAAAATAAGTGTGTACTTACAAATACCCAGATATGCTACCCATAAAATACCAGAAATGTACATATTAAAAATTACAATAAACATTTATAACTTTGTTACAAAAATTTCAAAACAGTATTTGTTAATTTATGTCCAATTCAGAAACTGAACCTTTGTTAATGTTTACAATTATTATTTAATTATATTTACTTCTAATATTTATTATATTAACAAATATTAATTTAAATTTTAACATACTTCCTTTTTTCAATTTGCAAATACGAAAACCTCAATTTAAAAAATCAATTATACTTATATCATATCACCACCTCTTCTGGCGATGTGTCATGCTTCAATGTCCCACTGGTGATTTGTCATAAAAATTCTCACCATTCTTCCTTCTTGCATTATGTTAATATGTTCATCCCCTCATTTTTCTTTTTAATAAACATAAATATTCATTTGTTTCTGGTTTAGTTTAAGCATCATATCTCATGATAAGTCTTATAGTTTTCTAATACAGCTATAAGATCAATTTCACAAATAAGAGTTAACATGTCAAAACAATATCTAACAACAGTATATAGTACTTTCCTTGAAAGTTTATTTGAAATTTAACAAAACATAAGGTAAAGGAAATAGTATTTTTATATGGAATATGCAACAGAAGCTGTAATGAACAGAGCTGAAGAAAATTTGAGATGATAGAAAGGTTAGCTCAGGACTTTGTCCAAACAAGATTAGTTCTGGAAATTATTTGCACAGAAAAATGAAGCTTTAAATCAAATAAAAAGTGTTTAGCTTGATCCCTAGAATATATTATGATAGCTCAGCTCTTGTCTTATTTACATGAAATTCCCTACATTTATTAGAAGTAAATATTGTATTTTAGATAAAGCTGATTTTCTACCAACTAAGATGGTTTAAAAATATCAAATTTGGCTGTATCAATAAAGAACAAATAATAATGTTTATGTAAATCATGTTTTTGAACTCCCCTTTTTGAACATTTTAGTAAGTAAACAAACAAAACATTAGAATTAAGGCAAAGATAATAAATGGTATAAAATTAAAAGGATAAATTAGATATAAGAGGAATTTATATCTTGGAATTTTTACTAATTCAACAAATATTAAGTAAATTGAACATAGAGTGAAATAGTAATATTAGGAATTATAACGACCATTAAAATAAAAAAAAACCTGTTTATTTTGAAAGAGTACTTTAAATATGTCCGTTATTTGGTATGTTTAAAATTGAACAAATGGCCAAAAGCCCGCCAATCATTTAAATTTATACTAGAAGTTTGGTATTATTTAGATGGATTTTATTAAATATTTCCAAAATAACGGTTGTATAGATTACAATAAATTAGGTCATACACTGATAAATCGTTAGCAATAATTTTTTAATTGAGCATTCTTTCCGGGAAAAAGGTTATGACAAACTAACCTAAATTTATGATAACAAAAAAAAACCAAATATGTGAAAAAATATATCTTACTTGTAATCCAGCACGCGCTGAACGAGAAACCGCCTTAGCTTTGGCTTTTCCACTATCTTTACCAGCTTTACCACCAGCCTAAAACAATACATATTTAATATTATTGTACTATGTAATATAGAAATGTTATTTTTACATTGTTAAATTTATCGGCGGATATGAAAGCATTTTAAATAACTATTTTATTTATTCTCTTAATACACTCACCATTTTGCAAATTTATCGTCTGGACTATGAAACTGAAACGATAACTACCGACTCCTTTCAACTAAATGTAGCATACGCAAACGATAATGGCGCCAAACGTATGATACGAACAAATAGAAACACATAAAATGCGCACATGACTTTTGATGACCAATAACAGAACGGAACCGAAGCGGGAAATTACTTTATTGATTTAAATAATGACGCTTATGGTGGCTTGGCTTGGATTTTGGACTGGGAGTATGTTCCGTAATGTAACTGTCAATTTTATATGAGACGTGTTCAGATTTTAAAATTAAACAGATTGAATTTAATTTTTTTACGCTTTTTACGCTTTTAAGAAAACTAAAAGCTAAACTTTAGTTTATATACATTTGTTTAAAATAATCTGCTTAATATAAAATATAAGATTGAGAGAGAGTGAGCACACTCGACCCCATAATTGCTTTAGGTAAAAAACTACAAAAATGTTACATTTTCGTAGTAAATACGAAAATGTTTAATAATTTTAAGTAAACACAAAAGTAAAATTTGTACTTTTGCCAATTTAATCAGTAAAACAATTTTGTTGAATGTTTTTTAGTTTTTTGTTTATAAATAATCAAAAAATATATTCCACTGTGACCGATTCTACCGCCAGTGGGGGTACAATCAACCAGGCCAAGGGGTTAATGTAAATAAATTTATAATCTATCTTACCAACATTTTACTCTATAAATATTTATAAAATCTTAAATCTTAATTTTAATTTATATCAGAAAAAAATGAATTGAACTATCTATAAATTAATATAAAATATTAACTACAAAATATATTTATTACAAGAACTTAGATATAAAAAATCACATAACATAATAATATATATAATAATGAGCAAAGCTAAAAATAAATATGTTTTTAGAGATGAATATTTAAAGTAGTCTCGACATTTGGGTTGGAAGGGGAACTTCCAACTTTGAGGGGGAGGGGACTTTAAATGAAACACCAACAAAAATATATAAAAAGATAAACCCATGATACTATGACTAACAAGATAGTACAAAACGTAGTACAAAATCGGTCGTGTTCGCGCATGCCGTCATTGGAGAGTAGAATTTGAATTCTTGTTAAAGTTAAATGGGATTTGTATGCATTCTGTGATGAAATTACTAGACGAAAATAAGTTAAGAGGTTTAATAATTACAATAATCGTACACATAAGAATATCCTTCTGATGACGGGTAGACCCAGAAACACGTGTCAGGGAGTGGTAAGAGACTCAAATTAAATCGAAACGCAACCGTCATTTATTTTATTATTGTCCTTACTCGACGCAATGAGTACAAAAATGATAGTAATTTATATGGGTAAATTGTTGATGCATAGTGGAATTTTAATATTCTCAGCATCGCTCGGGTAGACCCAGAAACACGTGTCAGGGAGTGGTAAGAGACTCAAATTAAATCGAAACGCAACCGTCATTTATTTTACATAAGAATATCTCCAAACTATTTATTAAAGATTATTTATTAATACATACAAAAAACTGACATTTCGAACGTGCAACTCTCCAATGACGTCACGACTTATGGGCAATATCTTATCTTCTTAGTCATAGTATCATGGATAAACCCAAACTACACAAAAGACATGAGAATAATAGGTTTTCTTTCATATTGGACCTTTTGGGAAGAGGATGATTTCTCTATTTTCACCCCTGTCTATCCTCCCGAGAACAGAGGCCGAAAGACTGAATATAAATTAATAAAAGTATATCGAAACTTTATTTATTTATATCTTAACCGGTTTTAAATATAGCATTTTTCAAATAACCCTAATAGCACACGTACGTCCAATGGACGTCCATAGTACGTCCCTCACGGACTTTAAGGACGTCCCTCGGACGTCCGCTTTGGTCCTATTTACGTCCGTTTAACGTCCTATATTGGTCCGAATGTCGCTGCGCCGAACGTCCTATGGACGTCCATTTTACGTCCCGAGCGGACGTTAGTTGGACGTACCGGGACGTTAATTGGACCTTAATCGGACGTCCATAATACGTCCGGAGGACTTACTTGACGGACTTTTGTGATGTTCTCGGACGTCTATTTTAGTGCTGAGGATATAAATTAGACGTCAACGCCATTGTATAAAATACTAAAAGTGGTGTCATCCTGTGCATATTAAGAATGTATTTTGGGTAATAAAACGTAAATGTTTAAAGGAACTTACATTTATTGTTACATTTATTTATTATTAACAAATGGGACAAATCCCCTGTCCAAATTATACAAAAATGCAACATTATAGAAATATAAAATAATTTTTAGTAATAAAACATAAATGTTTAAAGGAACTAACATTTATTATTACATATATTTATTTATTCATAACAAATGGAACAAATTCACTGTCAAAATTATACAAAAATGGAACATTATAGAAATATACACAAAATTACAGATAAAAATAAAACATACATGAATAAATATGTACACATTTATAAAAAGTTTCATTTAGCATTTTAGTGCTTCAAATAGTACCTAAACCTATTGATACAAAAGTTTCAGACCATATCTATGTGTGAATCATAATTAGTTCTGCAGTAAGGAACATGGAAATATAAATACTGACACAGTGAATGGGAGGAATATTAAAACAAACTAGCTGAAGCAATTCAGGAGATTGGTTATTTTATGAACAAGTTTAAAAATAAAGATTAAAAGATAACACTTTTGATAAGAGAATCCAGATTCAAGAAATTGATCATACCCGAATAAGAATATGGTCTACACAATTTGCAAGAACAGTAGATGCGACAAGTCAGTATAAATCTAATCTACATAAAAAATGTTTTTTCAGTCAAAATCAGTCAGTAAAGCCTCGAAAATTTTAGGAATAGTAGAAAGAATTATAATGGAACGATAATTAGGAATCTAATTAAAAATCCTTTGTAATAGGTATATATTTAAGGCCCAAACGGGCTAAGTTAAAAAGACAAAACGTTTTCGGAAACCATGTTCCATCATCAGTGTCTACTGATGACAGACATCATCACAGACAGACTAGACACTGATGATGGAACATGGTTTCCGAAAACGTTTTGTCTTTTTAACTTAGCCCGTTTGAGCCTTAAATATATACCTATTACAAAGGATTTTTAATTAAATTTTTAATACATGGTATACAGCCAACTACAGGAACGTAGATTCCTTGTGAATTAGGAATCAATAAGTTAATGGCTGAATCAATAGATAAAATCAATAAATAAATTGTGATGAAAAGTGACCCTCAGAGATTTATAAAAAATAAGCCATAGAGGCCTACATAAAAAAAATGCACAATTCCTTAAAAATAAGTTACGATATTCCATCTGGACCAAGACCTTTATTGGTATTAAGACACTGTAAGCATGCTAGAATGTCACAAATTTTAATAGTTAAAGAGTAAATATGGCTGTGACTGATATGGGATCTTTGACTACACTTGTCTACACAGGAGAAAGAAGGATTGTGAATACTGCTAAAAAAATTGGCAAAATAGTTGAAACTGTGGCTCACTAAAAACAGAACCATTCAACTTCCCTTATCCATTCCCATTCTGATTTACCTTACAAGTGTGTGGTCGGCAATTGAAAGCAGACAAGTTAATTGTTGAGTTTTAAAGTTGAAATCATAAGTATGAAAAAGATCATTACTTAATATGGAACTTTGTTTTATTTCAGCAGTAGATACTGTTTTAGGTACCTATTTTTAATAAATAAAACAGTCTCAAAAATTGACTGTTCCTTTCTGTGCACCAACCACACAATTTAATCATTACAAAATTAATCATATTTGCTAATGCAACATGCAAATTAAATTTTATTTGCCTCCTCTTTACATCTCAGATATTTCATTATCAAGTTTCAATTTCCTTCTCCATGGCAACACTGGTCTTGGAGTTTTTTCAGGCAGCACCTGAAAACAAAATTAATGTACTATAATGTAATGTAATAAATTGAACAAATTAATTTCAGATTTAGTTCATTATACTTTGCTTATTGTAAATAAATCATCATTCAAAGGCGTATGATTAAACAACTGAATTTCAAGTGCTGCAGTTTTAATGGATCTCACCTGAACTAGAAGAATACCAACAAAACCATTGGTATTTATTTCTAATGACCAAATGAGCAGTAATTACACTTTGATACTTAAAAAACAAAAATAACAGTGTATAAATAAAATATATACAGCCAACAACAAACCTTCATCTCATATAGCTAAGTGTAGTTCTTAAAGCAATCTCATAGCCAGACCTGAACATTTGTGAAATGGTAAAATTTGCCATCTAAATTACATGTAAGACACAGTTAATGATATGCTTCATCGGCTGTATATGGTCACTTAAGTGATAGTGTAAGTTTTTAAATATTCCTTAGATTGATTTATGTTTAACAGTTACAAACCTTTTAAAATCAGAGCTATATGTGTGTCTTCAAAAGTTTTATATTGCTTTTTCCCTAGCCAACTATATTTTCCTTGAATTTTATTGCAGACCAGCTTCTTATGGCTTCTCCTAACAAATTCGTTTATGGTTTCCTCACCAATTTTGGAAAGCTCATTATCCTAAAATATAAATCAACATGTAACAGTAATCTAACTACCCCACAAACTTGATCATCCATGCTTAATTATTTTAGTTTAAACTATCTAATAAAAAAAACAGGCTCTGTTAAAAAATCAAACAAACATTCAGTTGCAAATTTTGGTTTCTCATAACCATGGTAAATGTCTATTAAATTTACAATTTTAGGATATATCAACAAATTATACAAACTACGATAAAACTGACTACTAAAACTCTTTTTTAATGAGATTCCATAAAAATTTACACACATTTCTATAACATTGTTTTATTGTGAAGATAAAAATATGTTTGAAATTTGAATCATATGGATCAGAGTAATTGTTCTCTGGGTGAAGCAAGAAGGGTTCTAGCATCTGAACTTAAATGAGAAAGATCGGGAACTTCTTTATAATTTTTTAATAAATCACCTAGTATTAAAGGACAAAGTCCAGTTGAATAAATTATTAGAAAAATTAAAA